ACTTATAATTTTATTACGATTATGTCAAATATGATTATTACCAGTAAAATACAACTTATATCTAATTATACGTGGATATTTATCTACATACATATATTATACTTTTTTGCTTATATTTACATTCCTTATTAAGGAGGTTTGGGAAAAAAGTTCTAAATAAAGAAACGTGCCAAAAAAATGTATATTATATCTGAGCACATTAGGAGTGCACATGAATTTTTTCAGATTTTCCACTAGGGGAAATTTTTGAGAAAAAAATTATGGAATTTTGACAGTTTAACATGGTCTCTTATGCAGGAACAAGGTTAGGTTTGCCTTTTAATAAAAATTAAGATATATTCTATATGTGTCGGAATGAAAAAAAGCGTTTTCATAGATAACTTCGTATAAAAGGAAGATGTTCGACAAAAAAAATCAAGCCTTGCCAGGTATTTTTCAAAAATATAAGCAGTTTTAGTCGTACAGTTTCAAGTTGCAAGAGGAGGTGCGCGGAAAAGGGGGCCCAGCTGCACGGGCAGGGGGTTTCCCCGTTCCTCGCCTCCCTGAATGATACTCCCAAACCTCCTTAATATGTTTTGGCTATTACATTGACAAAATTTGTACTACATATGTGTACAAACATCAAAGCGGATTCTTTAGTCTTTTATCAATAGTGCGTTTTTTAAAAAAAAAGTCGTACAGAGACTATATAAAGCTTTTTTTATAGAATACATACTAGTTTCAATCACTTGTTACTCGGAGCATAGATTTAAACAAAAAAAGTTGTATTGTATATAAACAGTTTACCTACTTTTCACCTATAGTAAATTGTTATTATCACTTTACAGAAACAGTTACCAAAATATTTTGACAGCACGTAAATCATTTACAGTTAATAAATAGTAGTTTTCCTACGAGTTTAAAAAGTCTTTGTTTGCGAACCGAGAGGTTTGCGGCCCGAGCCGAAGGCGAGGTCCGTGACGAGGTTCGTAAAGGAGACTTTTCGAACGAGTTCCGAAAAACTGCTTTTTCGCCCGAGGAAGTACCAGCCTCCCAAAACCACCCGAGGGCGGAAAAA